CCCGATTAGGAATAGCTCTAATATCCACCGAGTTATACTAGTTTAAAAACTAGAACTTTTAGTAACACGTTTTTTTCATGTCACCCCTCTGTATTTTCCTGGTTTCATTATTGTATTATTAGACGCTAGTAGTGGCTGAGACCAAAAGGTTTAGTGTTCCAATCTCAGTTTTTGTTGGCTATCGATCGTGTCGATCATCACCTTGGCCTTTTTAACCAAACTACACTACACGATTCGCCAGATGGGCTGCAAGATTGTTCTTCTTTTTGAACACAGTTCAGGTAGACACATTCATCTCCTTAGACTTCAAACTCTCTCCTTTCCTTTGCCAGTAAATGGTTGTTGCATGGCATCGGCATCATACCCAAGAGATGAGGCACTCCATGCTGCCCTGACTTGGCCTTGATGCTTCACCCCTTCCATTTTGTCTTCAATTGGCAAAGGCCTATGTTGGCCATCGTACCCAGAATCAGTGCGGCATCTTTTGGTAGATGGACCGGGCTCCCCGTCTCCGATCACTGATGAGAAGGATCCAATGTCATCTGCCCGCTGACTCGTTTGGAGAGGCTCAGCGCAAATGCCAGAAACTCCAGTGGTGCTTGGCTGATTGTATGAGGGCATGGCATGAGGCAGGGCTTCTGGTGTCGAATGCGAAGAACCTGAATTTCTCCTTTGTAGAATTATTTCGTCTTCACCCTGCTTGTTTCTAAAGTTGACCTGTTGATATATCTTATTCATCTCATCTGCAGCTTTCCTCTTGAGCAGGTACTCTCGTTGGTGAAGTAAAAGGTCAGCAGGCGAGTATTCTTCTTCTTCTTCTTCTTTTTCTTCTTGTTCCAATTGTGCCAGCTGCATTTGCTGCCTGATCAGCTGCTGTTGTAGAGCTTGCTGTTGTAGAAACCTTTGTTGAAGCTGTCGCCGTTTCATAGCGGCATATTGTTCGGCCGTCTCGTTTATCAGCCTTGAATTTACGCAGGGGTTCGCGAGTCCTGGTTGCTGGTTCATTTGCCGGTAGGGCGGTGGGGGACAGCTACGTCGTATCAGATTACCCGTCATAGGTATGCCGTCTCTGGCCATGATTTCCGTGTCCAGGGCGACGCGAGATTTTGAGATTTGGGTAGGCAACAGGTCAGGTGACTGTGCTGGAATTTGTTCTTCCCAGACATGTGACGGATACTTGTCGCTTTGAAGGAACTTGGCAATACGTGTTTCCATGGTACGTTTTTTCCGCTCTTGGTCATCCAAGTGCTTGGTCCAGTAATCGAGGAGCTCGGCCCTGATGGCTCTGAAAGCTATGACATCTTCCTGTTCACGTGCAACCCTGGCTCGGTGCAGGAATGTATGTCTTCCGCTTTTCAAAGTTATATCAGGCACATGGTTGGCGAATTCGGTATAGAAATTGCGAAACTCTGTAAACATTTTGCGGATGAGCGGCTCTTGAAGAACATTGGCAGTGCCCTTGGAAGAGATGTGGCGCCTCCATTCAGTGGCGTAGGCATCAAATGCCGTTATACCGGGTAGCAATACTGGGTTGTCGGTGGGTAAAGAGGGCACGGAGCAGAGTTCATAGTAGGCGGGTAATGCTGATTGTATACATCCGGTTCCAGGCGCAATGGGATATCGACCAGTTGCGCGCTCAATAGGATACATTGAATTGCTGTCTGGCCTTCCAGTGAAGACGCCACCAAGAGTGGGTTGGCGCACATTTCGTAGTCGTTCAAAGGGGCTGAAGAGCAGCTTTGAATTGGAAAGCACTTGCTCTTCATGCCAAACAAAGTCGGCTAGGCAAAGGCGGACGTGGAGCTTGTAGAGATTCTTTGCCTTTGCCAGGATACCAGAAACCACTACAGAGATGTAATCTGCGGATATATCAGAAGCGGCACTACAACGTGGAGCGATGGACTCTGACCTCTAATGTCGTAAATCTCCACCTCTTCATCCCAGCGAGATCTCATAGTCATGTTGGCCGTGTTGGGCACATGGTGTGGGTTTGCAATGGGGCAATTCTCGAGTAGTATGTCAACGGCGTAGTTTTTGGCGGAAGCCCAGTCAAAATACTTGAGAAATTTCCTCTTTGCATGGTCGGCCTCATCGAACAGGAAGTGCGAAGAGCCGTCTGCTCGTTTGGGCTCGAGCAGGCGGCGTCCACACATGAAGGTGCCATCCTTGCGGATGTCGATCTTGAAGGTGACTGTGCTGAACAGGCGGTCTTTGACTTCGTCATGGACTTGGCGTGAGACGCTGAGAAGGTCCAAGAGTCTCATCGGAAACTTTGACCTGAGCACACGTGTTGCGCGCATGGGACTCGGGTAACTCAGGACGGATAAGCGACTTGTTGGTCGCTGGTCGGGGTCCTGGCTGGAGCGGTCGTGGACGGCCGCAGTGGACGAATCTATGGGCTCGGTGGGTATGAGATGTCGGTATACTTCATGGCGCAGCTCGAGGGGTAGCTGTTTTAGGAAATAACAGGGGGTGCTAGGATGGCCCTGATGATGGTCGCAAAGTTCAAAGTGCGGGGGGCTCCATCGGAACAGGCTTGCGCATCTACGGCCATCGGAGCTGGTGAACTGGCACCATCCGGCAAGGCTTTGTTGATCGCGGTGGAGGGCGCATGTGGGAAGGTAGGTGGGGCGCGTGTCCTTTTGAGCCTTTTTGCCGATGCTGGCGCTGCAGCGCAAGTTTGTCTTTTTGCAATAGCCCGAGCATCGCTTCAAGTAGTTTTCGGGGTCTTTTGGGTTGAGAGGAGGGAGGGGGGGTTCCATGGGGGGTGGAGCGACGCCAATGGTGGGCAGGTGTGGCTGGGGACTATTTTCGGTTTTGGTAGTGATAGTGCGGTTAGACGGCGCAGGTGTAGTAGCCATGACGGCGGTAAAAGTCGACGGTTGAATGCGGCACCAAACGAGAAGAGTTGGACGGGGCGCGTCTTCTTTTTCTGTTTGAGCAAGATGCTAGTGACTCTTAGTCGAAGCCCAAGAAGCGCAAAGGGGCCAAGGGGGGGGGCAAGGATGGAAAGGATGGAAAGGTAGAGGGAGACGAAACAGGTGAGCAGGTCGAGGTTGAGGGCGAGCGGGCAGGCACAAGTAAATGGGCAAGAGGAGAGGTGCTGTGTAGCCCAGCCCGAGCCCGGTTGGTTACACAAGCATGGGGGGGTTAGCGGCGAGAGGGATGTAGGAGAGGAAAAGGAAGGGGGAGCGGCGTGGTGGGAGGGTTGATGATGCAAATATATGTATGTAGCCATGTGTCGTTGTTCGTTTTTGCACATTTGCTGCGTCGGCCGCACGAAGTGCACAGCAGTGCCCCACCACGCGCTACTGGGCCACGACGACAAATGGCCGATCATGGCTAGAGGGCGAGAGGGCAAGAGGGCGAGAGGGCGAGACGCGCTGTGGGACGCAGGCCCTGCATTGTAATCACGCAAATGCATCCATGATGAGCAGGAGTTCCTTTTATCCCACGCCTACCAACCTGCGCCCTGCCCGGCTGTGTCCAGGCTGCCTACACAGTACTAGACGGTTCCCGGCATTCTCTACCCAATCAGTCTAGACGCATCTGGGGTCGCTGGGGTCGCTGGGGTCACTGGGGGCACTGCTGGGGGCAAAGGACCCTCTGTGGGGAGCATCGCAACACTAAACATCCCTCGGTAATCTACTTTATCCTGGCCGGGTAGGTGGCGCCATGCACGTCGTGAATCAAGCAGCAGCCAGCGCACTCGGAGTATTTCAACCATGAACACTACGCTATCTTTAGGGAAAAGTATACCGCCTGCCGCCAGCCGCCGCCCATCCTGTTGCCACACTCTTGATTTGATAGTGAGAGAGCTCCGTCTCGGCCACTCCAGGGATACACCAAGCAGCGGCAGCGGCAGCGGCGGCGGCGGCGACGAGGCTGAGCTGCACACTCGCGCCATCTCCCACACACGCACACGGTCCGCCCATCAGCAGGCATAGGGCGTGCTTGGCTTGGTTTGGGCCTCTTTGGGCTTAATCCGTCGAAGCTCCCCTCTGCTCCCATCTACAGACACGCAGCCGCGGATGATGCGATATCATGGCAGAAGAGGTTTGTACTCGCCCCCCCTGGACCTCAGTCCCCTCCCCCCCCCCTCATGAAGCTGGCTAATAACGCCCGCTCCCCAGACTAGTACCTTCACCACACAAGTGCCCACTTCGTCCACCCGACACGCCCTCTATGGCTCCATCCATGTAGCAGCCTCTTCTCGCGACTCGGCCATCGAGGTCAGCCCAGCCAGCACCATGCAACACCCCTTTGCTCCTGGCCGACGCTACTACATCTATCCACCCTTCATCAAGGGCCATGGCCGCTTGATACCCGCTCGTCGGACGGTGCCCTATCTGGTTGGTCTGTTTCTGGTCATCGCAGTGTTTGCATGGGGCGTGTGTTCTGCTATGTCTGTGAACCCGCTGCTGGGCCACCCGCACCACCCGCACCACCCGCGCCCGCCCCCGGGAAGAGGCTAGGTCAATCAAAGGCGCTTGCTGCTGGTCTCGGGTCGTTTTGAGCAACTGGCAAAACCATGTACTTTTACCATCGCGAATAGCCTACTCGAATCCAAATTGTCGTGGGAACGAATGCTACATGACTACTTGCCTAAACCAGATATGTGATTCGTCACCATGGCACTAACGCAGTCGCCGGCTAGCTGTGCGGGGAAACATGCCTCGGTTCGGCGCGCGTCCTCACCAACTTACCCTCTTCCTTGCATACTCACTCCCCTTCATACTCCATCCGGCATGTAACTTCCGTCCCGCATTGCACAGGCCCGCGACCTGTCTCGCCTCTTCACCTCACCTCACCTCACCTCACCTCAAGTCGTCCACCAACACCACCGCCACCACCACCACCAACATGTCGTCGGTCAAGCCCCAAACCACGCCGCCTCCCACCTCGCACGTCCTCCTATCCTACCCTGCCGACCATGTCCTCCTCGTCACCATCAACAGAGAAAAACAGATGAATAGCATCCCCTTTGAGGGACACCTCGAAATGGGTGAGGTCTTTGACTGGTTTGACCACGAGCCTAATCTGCGCGTCGCCATCGTCACTGGGGCCGGCACAAAGAGCTTCTGTGCGGGACAGGACCTAATACAGCTGGGAAAGATCCGGAGCGGACAGCTAAAGGCCACGCCAGGTCTCATGAGACATCCTCTTAGTGGATTTGGTGGACTGAGTCGGCGTATGGGTAAGAAGCCCGTCATTGCGGCTGTCAATGGATTCGCCCTCGGGGGCGGCTTCGAGATTGTATTGGGCTGGTATGTTCCACCTTTTTTTTTAAAAAAAAAACAAAAAACAAAAACAAAAACAAAAAAACCCCACGCGTTTGTTCTACACACAACCAAACATTGATTACTTCGCAGTGACATGGTGGTCGCAGCACCACATGCAACATTCGGTCTCCCAGAAGCTCTCCGTGGTATTTTCGCCGGTGCAGGAGGCCCGCCACGACTCGTCCGCAACGTTGGCCTGCCTATCGCATCTGAAATGGCCCTCACAGGGAAACCCATTACCGCTCAAAGGGCCAAGGAGCTCAACCTCGTCAACCGCATATCCCCCTCGAAAGAAACAGTTGTACAAGAGGCACTCAAGCTAGCAAGTGAAATTGCTGCAATTTCACCAGACTCGGCCATTGTCACCAGAGCAGCTTTGAGAGAGGCCTGGGAGACTGGAAGCGTTGAGCGAGCCACTCAACTGGTAATCGAACAATACAACCATGGACTTAACACTGGTGAGAATGCTCTTGAAGGACTTCGCGCTTTTGCCGAGAAGCGGAAACCAAATTGGCAACCTTCCAAGCTGTAATAGCCTGTTGGTGCAACATTGTGTAGTTTTGTAAAATAAAATAAAGAGACAAAAGGGTTTCACGGCTTACCTAGAAACGGCATAGATGACAGTATCCTTTTCTATAAAGGCTACTTTGGCTACTCCATCACTGCGTACCCAATTCCCCCAGGAGACAAAGAAATGGCACATCTGGTTCTCGCTGGTCTATTCGTGCCGTTCATTAACGTGCTGCGCTCATTTGATGTCAGTAATACATGTACATGTACATACATATAACCGGCAAACCTTGTGCGAGAATTACACTATGTCCAAAATAGCTGGAAAATCCCCTTGTCAAAAGCACGGCGAGGATCGCCCCCGCATCCCAGCTGAGCTCACAGGATCATTTAGATGCCTCGGCCGAGCAAACCAGGACCGGCTACACCGGAGACTGACTGCTAACAATCCAGCCACTTGCGTATTTGTTCTCTACTCCTGGACCCGTGTTGCTACTACGTGACGTGATTGAGAATACTTTGTCTTATCTACACACTACGCTACCATTGTCATGGTGAACCATGAGCCAAAAGACGCTGCTCCAGCCCAAATATGCATTACAGGGAAGCGAAAGAGGCCCGTGTCTGAACAGGAACATCGAGAGAGAAAACGCGCCGTTGACCGCCGGGCTCAAAGGTCCCTTCGAGAGAAGACCAAGATACACATTGCTAAGCTTGAGCGCACAATAGAGATACTACAGAACAAAGATCGTAATGACACAACATCTACTCTGTTGTCTGAAATTGATGCCTTGCGAGCAGAGAATGAGCGGCTCAAGCACACCATCGAGAGTGTGAAGAGCCTTGTTGGACTCAACGTGGTTTCGCAAGACATCCTGCCAACCAAACCTGGCCCTGTCATGGAACACGCAAACCGTTCCCCAGCAGCAGCAGCAGTCGGTATGCATGTCTCTATCCCTCACCTTTGGTAGTTCGATACGACCGCTCATATGACATGGCAGGCCACAGTCTGCCTGAGCCGCCTACCATTTCTATTGCCGGTGACCCACAACCGTCACCACTTCCTCATCTGAACCAGTCAACTTCTATCGACCGTACGATCCCCGGAGATGAGCAACAGCGGTTTGACCAACCGAAATGTCCTGAGCAGCCAGACTTCTTTCAGCCATCACCTTTCCCCAATGGCCCGACCGTGATCAATCAGCTCACAACGGCGGCAATCGATCTTGACGGCATAACCATAATACCAGATATAGACGAGCCAACCGTTCCAGATACCAACAAAAAATTAGCCCATAGTCCGCGATTCCGACCTTTATCCGAATGTTTGCCAAAAAAGCAGAGTGAAGAGTTACTACAAGCGATAATAGGAAAAGACCCATTCTCATCATTGATGCAAGAGGTAACTTTTATTTCCTCCCCACCTAGCAAAAAAACAACAACACACACACACACACACACACACACACACACACAGTATCTTTGGATGCAGTTGTATAAAATGCTAACGTACATCTCATCAGATCATGGGCGCAAAAGTAATACTATCCTTTCCCCATCATTCTCCACATCGTCGGCCCTTCTCCAAGCCTCACAATGTGCAAATAAGACACGAACAAGACGGGTTCTGAATCAAGCGTCTCGAATTTTTCCCCCTGTAATGTGCCAGTGTACTAGAATTGAACCTATATGTTATACATATGAAGAGGCCTGTACTTTTGGGAAGATAGTATTACGAAGTAACCAGGCGAGTATTTGAGTCAAGTGTCAAACCGGCTACTACGGTTAGGGATTAGAGATGTAGGCAGGAACATGTTCAATAGACCTGATTTTTTTGATTTTTTTTTTTACCTTTACACTTTATTTTACATAGTACAACAACTAACCAATCAATCAATCAATCAATCAATACCAGCATCAGGATTATTCGAGTAACCCGCAACACCGATTCAATCACACACACATACACCACATGCACATACACATACGCACACACACACACACATACACACCAAAAACAAAGCAATTATGAAGTTTTATCGTCATCATTCGTGCTATCCCAACACCCACTAGGGTATCAACCGACACGAAATACTTTTTTCCTCCACTCTTTTGTACATCGCACCAAAGCGATGCTGGTAGTCGTGACTTTTCATGACTCGGGTCATGATCATTCACGCCTGGCTTCCCCTCCCTCCTTCTCCTTTTTCCTCCTTCTCCTCTTCCTTTCCCTCTTCTTCTTCCTCCTCCGTCCCCTCCTTCTTCGTCTTCGTCCTCTTTCGTCTTCTATTAATTTTTAAATTTTTTCTCCTCAATGTCATTACAAGATGGCTTTCTTGAAATCATATCGTGTTGAACTCTTTCCCCCGCGCGCACATACAAAGTTCCTCCTTGGTCTCAGGTTTCGATGCGCTGGTAGAACAAGATATACGCCACCTTGTTGTCGCGCACATTTTCTTTGAGCAACGGTGTCCTCTTGCCCGCGGAATTCGGTGTTGCTGCGCCGTTGACAATACCACTCCACTTCTTATTGCCATCCTTCTGCTTCTCAGATCCATTCACCTGGTTCCAGCCGCCTTTGTCAGGCTCCTCCTCATCCATGTCGATCTGTGCGAAGAAGTTCTTGCTCTTCCCAGCGTCCGACTTGTGCTGCTCGAGGGCAGCAGCTAAGACCTTGGGGTCCTCTTCTGCGCCACCCTCGGCCACTTCCTCAGCACGGATGCGACGGATGATGGTGTCATCCATGCGAATCCACTCCTTTCCTTCTTGGCGTCGAAGGTCAACTGTGTAATGGCCACCGCTAGCGTTCTTACCATGGTGGTAGACAACACCAGTAAGTCTGTACCGAGGGAAGCCGCCTTGGATCTGGTAGCTTCCTCGCTTGTGTGGCGGGAACACCTCCTTGGGTAGTTCCAGCTCGAGCGGGTAGCCAATCTTCTTCCAAATCTTTTGTGGTCCTTTTTCATCGTAGTGGAAACGTTTCAGATGAAGTATCAACACTGGTGGTAGTGACTCGATGTGGACTTGCTTTGTCGATGCTTTGGCACCGCGAGCGGCACCGTCTAGTGTTTCTAGACGTGTAAGGTTTTTGAGAGCATCAGAAATGTTGTTGATATTTGGTTCGCCAATGTCGAGTTGGAGAGGTTGGTAGGGCTCAAGTGTGACAGAAGCTTTTTCGCCTGGCCTCTTGTACTCAGAGCGAAGTTTGCCACCGAATATCTTGGTGATGGGACTCTCGATATCAATAGCTCCGGAATTCTGAGTGACGGCTGTCTTTTGCTTGTGACCGACCTCTTCCCAGCCACCATCCACGGAGCCTGTTTGTTCGCTGTTTTCCAATGCGACTGTGCCTGCAGGTTGACTCTGCTTTCCACTCTTAATTATTTGGACACATTCGTCATGCAGTCCAGCAAGTAAGAAACCCAAAAACTCTTCGGCGTCTTCTTGCTGGCCTCTTTTCATGTTATCGAAGCGGGGCAGACGCTTGATGACGTCGTATACATATTCCGGGGCCAAAGGATCGCCATACTGCTCAATGTCGTTACTTTTCAGTCGTAGACGTAGCTGTTCAACAGTAGGCGCAGAGTCAATGAGCTTGAAATCTCGCAAGAACATAATCATCGCATCTATGAGAGGGGTCTCAGACTTGAAACTGTGCACGGCGCGTTTGGCGACCTGGTCGAGGAAATCGTAGAACGGGACGCAGAAAAGAAGGACTTGAAGAATCTACTCTCAGGTTAGGCAGGTTTATACGATGGCAAGCAATCAAGACATACCGAATTCATATAACAAAGATTGCCTGAGTTGACGAGACCACGCGGTTCAATGAAAGAAACCTTCTTTTCCGAATCAACTGAGAAGGATGCCAAAACATCTGCGAGAGTGTTGCTTTTTTGCACAACAGGTCCATTGGTAACTGGCGCGGGGGTGGTGGTTGGTGGTGCAACAGGCTGGGCTGCTTTGGTAGCATTCTTTGCCCTTAGTAGCTCTGCCCACGATTTTGGCGCAGCTGGCTTGGGCTTTTCTTCAGCATTAGGCGCGGCTTCCTCAGTTGTTGTTGTGGTTGCAGCATCGTCGATTTGCGACAACTCTGGTTGAGCTGCAGCGGGCGACTTGATGGACTGCTGTGTGGTGGAAGCTGCACTGGATGCCTTTGCGGGCTTGATCGGGACGCGGGGTACGGCAGGTATGGTAGGGTTGCGGGCATGCTTTTTTGCAGCAGCCGTGACGGGGGCAGCCTGTTGTGAACCTGATGGTGTAGCGGTAGATGGAGTTGTCGACTGGGCTAGATCGACTTCTGAAGGTGGGTGTGAAGTGGAAGGGGTGTCGACTTCAGCATCAGACGGACCCGCAATTGTGGATGCCTGAGATTCCTCTGGTTCTTCTGTGGGAGTCCTGTCGCCTTCTGTGTCTTCCTCAGTCTCGTTCGAGGCATCCTCGTCGATAGCCTGGTCGCGTGAGGGCAAAGCCAAAGATTGCTCTTCGGTAGATACCGGGGCCCTTCGCCGTCTCTTTCCGCGCGAGGCGCGCACTGGAAAGTCTGATTCTGGCACAGAAAGCCAGGGCAGAGGCGGATAGAATGGCTTAAACGTAATGGATTGTGGGGTGGACGGGGCTGGTGGCGTGGGCTTTGACTCAACAGCGGGTGGCGGGCTGTCGACAGTGGGAGTTGGCTGTGGTGTCGAAGAAGACGGCATATATACGTGGGGCTGCACCGAGGGGGTTGGAGGCGCCTGCTGGGGAGTAGGAATGCGGGGAACAGGCGGGGTGCGTGAATGGACAATGGGAGGCGTCTGGCCCATGGCACGGTTGACTGGTGGGACCATGTGCAGATGTGACGAGACTACAACGGGCGAGGCATGCGGCTGAGGTTGGAACTGGCGCGGAGGCATGGCATATTGAGGCGGCGGCGGGGGTTGCTGGTAGGGGTACCATTGCTGCATGGGCTGCATGTGCTGGGGATAGCCGTGAGGCGGGCCATACTGCTGAAGGTGGTGGTAGGGCGCGGCATAGGGGTTATGGTGGACGGGCGAGTGTGTCTGCGGGGGAATGTGGTGGTGGTAGTACTGCTGCTCGGCCTGCCTCCTCCCAGGCATATAAGGGCCGGGCATCATGAGGGCTGGGCGCGGTGTTGCCTCGACAGTCGGCGCCGGCTAGGGAGCAAGCGGCCAACTTGTGAGGCAACGGGGCGGGAGACGTTGGCGGGGGCGAAGGCGATGGGGAAGCGGGTGCGGGTGCGGGCAAGGCGCGCAGGGTGGTGGAGGATATTTATTCGGATGCGGAGCGGCGTCGCGCGACTGGCGTAGGCGAAGGATGCGGTGCGGATGGGCTCGTCGACGATCGCGGGGTCATCGTATCAGGACGACATGAGCGCAGCAAAGGCTGCCCGCGACAAAGAGAGGGAGAGAGAGGTTGGGATGGATGGAGAGAGCGGCGGCGTGGTGTTGGGCCTGGCGGCAATGGAAGAAGCTCGAACCGAGTCAAAGAGTCGCTCTGCGGCCGAAGGGCGTTGCAGTCTGTGCGGAGGGCGGAGACCCTGGGCAGACAGCGAGGGAATGTAAGAGAGGAGAGGCAGGCAGGCAGGCAGGCAGGCAGGCAGGCAGGCAGACCAACACGGCCAATGGCACGGGATGACGGCTGTTTTGGATCAAATGCAACAAGAGACGTGCGCCTCTGGATGTTGAGACGGACGCAGAGAGTGCGTCGGGGAGAAACAGTCAATGGCTGCCCGTCGATGCCGCAGCTCCACGATGCAAAGGCAAGTGGCCGGCTGATAACGTGACGGCCCCCGGCGTCATCAACCCAGGTCGTCGCCATCCGCCACTCCACCTTCTGCCTCTTGTCCCCGACCACGCACCCTCTTGGGGACCCCGACTTTCCGCAAACCATCCACATACACACACACACACATATATATATATATATACCACCAGCTATCCCCACTATTCTCTCGTTTCCTCCCATCTTCGGTCCTTCATTTCTTCCCCGGTCCTTCATCAACGTCATCATCGTCGTCGTCGTCGCTGGTGCTGGTGCCGGTGCTGGTGCTGTTGTCGCGCTATCGTGAGCCCTTAGCTGGGAGTCATGTCTAGCAACCCACCCGCCCCGTCCTCGTCCAAGGCCTCTGCATCCACTGGCCCCATCTCTCCCGCCCAGAACCAGGCCCCCTCCATCAGCACCAGTAGCTTCTTTGCGCAGCCGCGGGGCAGCGGAACGTCGGCGCGGTCCTCACCTACGCCTCGCAACAGCCAGCAGCAGAAGAAGCAGCACAAGGGCTCCAAGCGCTTCCGCCAGACGGATGAGGATGCCATTGCTGAATCACTCGCCATGCGCCCCTTCAGCAACAGGAAGGGCCAGACGTCCATTACCCACCTCATGAACTTTAGCCTTCCTCCACGCCCGTCCAACCACAACCAGTCGCACGGCTACGGAAGAAACTACCGGCGCAATCCCACATGGGGCCTCGGATCTGGCTACCACGCCGTCGACAAAGCCCGGTAAGTGCTCTTCTCACCCCAACTTGCCTCCGCTAACCCGCCCAAGATATGTGCACGCCAACTACCGCTTCATCGTCGATCCTCGCGGCGACTATCGCGCTCAGAGCGTCGATGCCGATATCCACCTGGACTGG